GGCTACAACACTCAAAATAAAAAAGAAATTTCTTATACCAGTCTTCAATCTCTATAGACCTGTTGCTCATGGACCTGATGTACCCGTACCTGCTCCACTGGAGACTCTTGATACAGTTTCGTCTAATTCTGAACCTGATGTCAAGGATTGTTTTCAACCTGAAATGTCTGGTGAACCACAACTTTTCACACAAGGTGAATCTATTGATTTGGTGAGAGATTCGGGCCTTCCAAAGGATTCTTCAGAGATTTTGGGGGTCCAGACTTTGGGTTAGGAACTTAATTTGCCCTTGGGATATCATTTTACTGGTACAAAAATCATGAGAAAGAGTTTATACCATACTTTTCACAAGAAGGTTCACTGGTTTATTGCAACAATATTGCTGGATTAATACCAATGCTAGGAGTGAGTGAGTGGCGATTGTTCACTGATTCCTCCAAAAGAAGTCTGAAAAGTGTTCTCCTTCACAATGGTAACATAAATATATCTGTTCCTATTACTCATTAAGTTAACTTGAAGGAAACATATGAAAATCTTGAACTTCTTCTTGATAAGGTCAAATACATAGAACATGGTTGGCTACTTAGCGAAGACTTAAAAGTCCTTTGTATATTGTTGGGTCAATAATCCGGTTATACAAAGTTTCCATGTTTTTTTGTGTGAATGGGACAGCAGAGCATGAAATCAGCACTGGATAAGGAAGTAATGGCCACGCAGATTCCAGGATTATATACTAGGATTAAAAACACTGAAAGTGAAAGTTTGGTCGACACAGAGAAAGTCCTATTACCTCCACTTTACATAAAACTGTGCTTGATGAAGCAGTTCTTAAAGGCCTTAGACAAAGATGGCAATTGTTTCAAATATCTATGTGGGCAATTCCCAGCTCTTTCAGAAACAAAACTAAAAGAAGGGATTTTTGTTGGGCCTCAGATTAGGAAATTAACTTTGGATGAACAGTTCGAAAGTACAATGCGCAAAGTTAAAAAAGAAGCATGGATTGCCTTTAAAGATGTCATTGACAAAATATTCAGAAGCAATAAGAACCCAAATTACAAAAATATTGTCAATAACATGCTCGATAAATTCAAAGAATTGGGTTGTAATATGAGCTTGAAAGTTCATTTGTTACATTCACATATTGACTATTTCTCAGTGAAGAACAAGGGGAAATGTTTCATCAAGACACGAGGGAAATGGAGCGGAGATATCGGGGAAGGTTAAACATTAGTATGATGGCTGAATACAGAAATGGCTGAGAGGATGGAGATTAGGTGATACTCAAATTGACTGCTATGACAGAAGACTTATTAGGACTACAGATAACCAAGAAAGCTGGTCAAACAAGACATTATACAATCAAAAACAGTATATGAAAAAAAAAAAAAGTTGGCTCAAAATGCAAAAATTAACAGTAACAATTTCTTTAAATATACTAAGGATGAGGAAAATGTTAAGATAGGAGTAGGACCTTTGGAAGATGATAAAAGAAGATTTACTCTGATGATTATGAGATGGCTAAGTAATTAAATTCTACTTTTTTTTTCAGTTTTTATAAAAAGTGCGCCTTATACACCGAAAAATACAGTATATTATAAATGAAGAGCTTAGACACAAAACATAGTATATGTCATTTCTGATAAAACTGAGTTGCCAAAGGCACTGTATTGATTATGTTCAACGTTAAATAAGAGCAAAATCTTAAAAATTACATTTTATTTTGCTTTGTGGGACAGGGAGGGAGAAAAATGGATATTTCAGAAGAACAATTAGATGTTTCTAGCATTTTGTTCTTTGGGCAAGAAAATGTTTTCAAAAATTCCACATCCCCTGGGCAGTTGCAAAACAACAAGTTTATTCAAAATAACAATAACAAATAAAAATGCCATCTCAGGTAAATGCCTGTGTTGTTTTGGATATGGTTGAGCCAGCCCTGCTTGGATTGGAAAATCTAATATTTCAAATTAATGCACTAATGTTTAAGTTTTTGTATAACTTATTTAGAGAGTTGATATGGAATAATTAGCCAAAAATATTTTACTTTATTAATTTTTCTTTAAACACGAGTTTTATACTGAATTAAACTTAACTTAGGTAGAAATGGCAAGTACAGAAACTTTGCATATAAAATATCAGAAAGGTGAATAATACAAATTCAAAGTTGGCCTATAAATCAACATTCCACTGGCCTTATTGCAACAAGAATACATGTAAAAAATGTAAAATACTGTAAAAATAAAGAAATTGTGGCTTAACATTTTTCGAAGCTCATTATATGACATTTTTTCCAATTCATAGATAAGCTTTATCATTGGTGTCTTCACTTATTTTAATACTACTAATAATTTAATAATATACTTTATAAATGTAACAACCAGATTGGACCTTGCAAGTAATTAGAACAAAAATATATTAAGGCAGCTAAAACAGTCTCCATTGCATATTGCAAATAAAGAAAAAAACTGAATATCAACTCTATGTATCTCCTTTTCAATTTAACTACCTTAAAGTTAAATATCTAGAATCATAAGAATTATGCTATACAAATTACAACACAGTAAAAATGACAAGGGCTCTTCACCATATTTCATAAGTAAAAACATCACTGAAAATAGTGAAATAACTGCTTAAGTTTCAAAACAATTGTTTTTTGGTGTTTTTTAAAAAAATTAAATATTTGTTGGTTACATTGAGCCTAAATAGCTAGTGGTGCCAAACTTTATAAAGAACCATAATGCTTAGTCCCACAAATTCCTGTTAGTTAACTTTTAATTTTATGATATCTGAAGCTTGAGTATATAGAACTTACAAGTTGTAATGTTAATATTATATTATAGACTACGGAAAACATCAATAATTCACACCTACCTCCTTCGACTCTTGTTGTACTGTTGTTTCCATTTTTAGCTAATCGTTATCTGCTACACTTCTTTGTACACCCATTGACAACAATAAGTTATCTGGATTAAAAAAACAGTTATCTGGTCAAAATCCATACATGATGTTTCTGCATTCTGGAGTTTGTCGACGTTGAGACTGCGACTCGCCAAACATTTGTTAAGCAGCCATTTTCAACTTACCTGGTTGAATGCTAAGCACGTTAAAATATTACAATATTTAAAACTCCTTCATATCAAATTTTCCTGTCGCTATGCAACTAATAAAATTAGTTATTTTCACCATTATTATGTTTCTTCTACCTTATTACATCCTGCTTATTCCTTCAAGGCACCACGTCATTCACTAGTTTACCTACAATTCTATTACTTAGCACGAGTTTGCACCCTACCAAGTTCGCCGACAGGGGCAAAGGGAAGCAAGCAATGAAAGTAACAGCGAAGAAAGTATGAAAGTTGAAGGAATGTGGGGAATGAGCCTCGTGCAGGTAAACGTCACTGCGCGTGCCCGAGCACAAGCTGTCCGATTGAAGTTCTGCTCTGTTTGTGACTTAGAGGAGGCGTGACTGTTACAAATACAGACCCTTGTTTTCACTTTGCTTATTACAAGAAGTCAAGAACTTATCAACAATTGTTAATATTAAGTTTACCAACAAAATATGTGGAAACAAAAAAAAAAAGAGCAAGTTCTAGAATTCGTTTCTACATTTTGACATATACGAAGTTTTTTGAGTTTATGTTTTGTCCCTCTCTTTTTACACCAATGATTAAAGTATACTTACTATTGGAGTCAGTGAAATTAAAACACTGAAATCAGGCAAAAAACAGTTGTTATTTTTTTTAATATCGCGCAAAGTTACACGAGGGCTATCTGCGCTAGCCGTCCCTAATTTAGCAGTGTAAGGCTAGACAGAAGGCAACTAGTCATCACCACCTACCGCCAACTCTTCGGCTACTCTTTTACCAAGGAATAGTGGGATTGACCGTCACTTTATAACGTCCCCACGTCTGAAAGCATGTTTGGTGGGACGGGGATTAGAACCCGTGACCCTCAGATTGCGAATATATCGCCCTAACCACCTCGGCATTGCAAAAATACAATTTTATCGTAACTGCCTATGAATCGTGTTAAAACAAAAACTTTCAAATACTTCAGGAGACTTGCATTTTGTATTATTATGTTTTCCCTTGTTCTTACACATTCAAAGTGAGCTCAGAATGTTTCGATGCACACTGCGTGTTTAAATGGAGACAGATAAGCAGGCAAAAACATAAAACATACGTTGGTTTAACAATTAACATAGGTACCATATATATTACTTACACCACTTCCTCTCTAAATTGTAGATGGAGCATCATTGTCTGTCTTTCAAAGACGATGTAAATACCCAATCGAATCTACTTTTTCATGACCAAAAAAAAAGAGTACCAAACAGAAAGTGATACATTCAGTTTCATTCTTTATGTTTTTTGGATTAACGAAGTTTTCCATCAAATTAAATTTAGGAATTACAAAATATCTATTTTGTTTATTTATTCTTAATCACACAGCTACACGATGTTCTATGTTTACCGTGCCCACCGTAGTGATCATGCTGAGACATCGGGGAAGGCCTAAAAGAGAGAATATGGAATTTGAAAAATTATCTGCAGTATTTTTAATGCAAGTTATATCATTGATACTTGAAACCCCCCAGTACTTAGTGAAACCCTGTAATTACAGAATTGAGGAAAAACAAGACAAGTGTACGTTTCACAAATACGTCACTTATTCACGACCATAAGCTGAATAACCATTTTATTTATACTAGTAACTGTTTAACGTTGGAGTGAATACTCCTAAAATGTTACAGATTGACACAAATGAGCCCCAACAGATCTTGCTCGGGGGGGGGGGCAAAGTCTAAATCAAGGGGAGGTCAGGTGCAAGGATGACTTCTTCTTCCCTCCTTGACAGTTGATTTATTTGGTTTTATGTTGTACTTGGTTTATTCAGAAAAATGCTAATTTGTATCACTAAACGAGGATCAGTGTTTGTACTCAGCAGCCCGAGTACGTATTCTAACTTCTTTCCATTCCGAAGGCCATGTCCATGTATGTAATTCTTTTAGCATTTACTGTATTTTTTATGTTTTTATCACCATCTCATCATTTGGTTCTGTGCTAAGGTCCTGCACCTCACAAACAGTTCCAATGATAATCACACACTTTGCACTTGACCAAATACCTAGAAGTGTATTGTACATAAAAAACATTTTAATAATCTCGTAGTTCTTTAAGCTAATGATATTATTACCTGCTAGCTGTAGGTGGCATCTCATTAGTTTTATGATAAATATTAATCGGGGAGAAGAACTTAGGACTACTTTCATTATGTATATGATAAAAGTCTATTGCGCAAAACAGCTAGTTTTTTGTTTAGATTTTAACAAGCTATGTAGGTGTCGGTCAGGTAGTGGTTATAAGTTTGCGTACTTGGGTACAAAAGCTGAAGATCTGTTGTGACTAGTGAATTTTGTATGGTTTGTAATTCACTTTTTAAGTGTGTGTGTGCTATCTTTGGTTATTTTGAATTTCGCGCAAAGCAATTTTCAAGTGATAGTCAACACTACCCATCGCCAACTATTCTTTACTAACGAATAGTTGGATTTACCGTAACATTATAACGCTAAAAGGACGAATAGGCTCGGAGACTTAATTCGAACCGCGACCTTAAATTGCGAATCGACTGCTCTAACAATTAAGTCACGCCAGCCCAGGTCGGGTATATTTACAAACTGAAATCATATACGTTTTCAACTAGTGTTCAAAATGATGAATGTTTTATTTTGCTTTAAAGAATTTTCCTAAAAACATCCTCTCTTTATAGTTAAAAATCCCATGTTCATTTGTTGCGTGAAGGAGTATATGTAGTATCCACCATTAGATGGTTATTTACTCATACAAAGGAACATGCTTTATAAAAACCTATAAATGAACAGAGACAATAGGTGGTACATGTAACTAAACCACCATTCAATAAACAACACATCATACCAGTACACTTGACATTATTACTAACAATACATCATACCAGTACACTTGACATTATTACTAACAATACATCATACCAGTACACTTGACACTATTACTAACAATACATCATACCAGTACACTTGACACTATTACTAACAACACATCATACCAGTACACTTGACACTATTACTAACAATACATCATACCAGTACACTTGACACTATTACTAACAATACATCATACCAGTACACTTGACATTATTACTAACAATACATCATACCAGTACACTTGACATTATTACTAACAATACATCATACCATACACTTGACATTATTACTAACAATACATCATACCAGTACACTTGACATTATTACTAATAATACATCATACCAGTACACTTGACACTATTACTAACAATACATCATACCAGTACACTTCACCAACATTGGTACGGAGGTCCATTAGGTCCATGCGGGGGTACATCAATTTTTCAGTTTTGCGTTTTGCGGTTTTTATGGGCGTTTTTATGTTCTTTGCCAATACTTCGCCCCCTGTCGATGGATCTTCACCAAATTTGGTATGGAGGTTCATTGGGTCCACGGGGAGATACATGTCAATTTGCGGTTTCACATTTTGTGTTTTGTAGTTTTTATGGGCGTTTTTTACCATTACATATAAGGGAATCAATTTCTCATGTCCTAAGATAACTTTTCATTAAAATGTAGAATTATACACAGACTTGTTTTTCTCTATGTTAAAATACTTTTATTTGCGAGCTCTCGGCACTTTTTCATTCTACAGTACATGGTTGTCCGATGAAGGCTCCGATAAGAGGACAGAATCCCCGCAAATAAAAGTATTTTAAGGTAGAGAAAAGTCCGTGTATAATTCTACATATTAATTTACCTACGTCATGAGTCTTTAACAATAACTTTCATTAATCATGAATTTACATAACTTCCGTCCAGGAGAAGGGTACTCTAGCTAGTGTATGTCATATGTTAGTAGAGCTGTATAGTTAGTATTATAACAATACTATGATAATAGAAAAACAGTGAAACAATAATAATGATATACACATTGTTAGACACATGTTACAGCAGACTCGAGAAATAGAACGTTACAAGCAGTTTTATAATTTAACAAATATTCTAATATCAAACAATTGTGTATATTAATCCTGATGAGGCCTAAAAATGATTTAAAAATATTATATATATATATCTGGAATATATAGGTCATTTTTTTCTAAACGTTTTATCATTAAAACCTAGCAATGTGCCTAGAGCTATTTGATATGCCTTTATAGAATACAATGTCAGTACTAATATTGACAATTTATTCATAATTAGTAGAACCAGAGATGAACAATTGTTGTTATTTTGTTTTTAGTTGAAGTTAAGCACAAAGCTACACAATAGGCTGTCTGTGCTCTGCCCACCACGGGTTTCGAAACCCGGTTTCTAGCGTTGTAAGTCCGCAGACATACCGCTGTGCCACTGAGGGGGAAAGAGATGAACATCAACTGAGAGTTGGTGGTTACTAAACTGGAGCTGGCTTTGAACGATCAGAATTCTATTTATCCTCTCCTCTTAAAACTGTAAACTGCCTATAATTTGAATACCAGTAACTACTTACTTAACCTTATCTTCTCTGTGCGTATGATTTATGACTTTTCTAAAATTCCGGCTGTAGAGTGAGACGCTTACCCGAGATTTCAAGTTTAGCGCTTAAGAAGTTTTACTGTGACGAGAAATAACGAAAACTGATTATTTTAGTTCAAAACATGAGGGACAAATTGGGGTAGGTTAATTAAGAAAATGAATAGATGACAAATAAGGGGAAGATATATTAATTTCTATTTAAAGATATGCGTGGATATATTGTTGCTGCTCATTATCGAATATAGAATATAAATACAAAGATAAAAAAGAAATATATTTTTAATTGAAATTTAAAATTTTGTTACAGGAGTATGTTAGTATTGTTGCGTCAGCGAGGTCACGTGACTAGTATCACGCCACTTCTTTCTCGAACCTTCGGGAGATTACTAGATTGGGGTAGTATGGTATATATAAGATGGTCACAACGTGACGAGACAATGTGTAGGTAGTGAATAATTGAACTGCAGTCAGAGAGTATTGTTGAAGTTGAGCACGTTCCTTGTTATAGCGCGACTGTTGAAATTAAGTGTATCGTAAAGTTATATTCAGAAAGAATAAACCAGTTTTATTTAAGAAAGGACTTGTGTCGCTAAAGTTTCGTCGGAACGAAGTTACTGAAAATTAACTAACGAACGGAGACGTAACAGTATTATTATGTGTCATGAAGTGATCAACAGACCACACACCAACTTTCTAATCAGAACTACATC